TACTTAATATGGCCTTTTTAGCCATGCATGGTCTTATAACTGCCACATAGTGATTGAGGGGGATTATGCAAATAAGGTGCTTGTGGCCCACCAAGAGATGGCTGGACAGCTCGCAAACAATGCAGATAAGGTACATGGAATCCTGCAGGGGTAAGGCCATGTAAATAAGATGTATGGAACCCTAACAAAGGGACTGGTCAGTTTTGTCATCCTGCTAGGCTTAAAAAGATAGCTAAACCCAGAACAGAGAGAGGAAATTATTACCACCAAGGAAGAAGATCTGGGAGTGGAGTGTGTCCTTTGGACCCAGTTCCCATGCTGAGAACCTTCTAGATCCAAGAGACAGAAAATCTGTAATGTAGGAATCAGTACAAGATAGTGAGAAGCAGCAGTGGAGAAATGGCAGCAGGAGAACTAGACCAGTGCCAGACAGTGGTGGGCTTCCCAGTCCACAAAGCTAGGCAGTTACAGTGGACGCGCCAACCCAAGAAGGAAGAGAGCTCACTATCTTCAGACGGGAGGCTTCTTACTAGAGTGGGGTGCCTCCTAGGCACTAAGCAGTGCTAGGCTTATCAATCCACAGAGCAAGAGAGTTGAGCGCCTTTGGGCAGGAGGCTTCCTAGTGGAAAGGGGTGCCTCTGGGCACTTACTAGCAGAACGAAAGAGCTTTGTAACACTTGACCAAGCACAGCAGAGCCGGGCCCAGGGGCTTAGGGGTTGAGGGAGAGACTTGCCTGTAGTAGAGCCAAACTGCCCTGACCAAAGAACTATACCCTGAATCATTCCTGACCCTGAATTGTAACCTGTCACTTCTTAATAAACCCCATCCAAATGAAAAAAACATCCACTGCCCCTGAACTAATGCCAGCTCATTCATAGTGACCCTACAGGACTGAGGTGGAGTCCCCCTAGGATTTCTAAGACTGTAAATCTTTACAGAAGCAGACTGCTACATCTTCCTCCTACAGAGCAACTGGTGAATTCAAACCACTGACTTTTTGGTTCGTAGCTGAGTGCTTAACCACAGAGCCACGAAGGCTCCTTAATAAACCCCTTAGTCATGAATACAGTCTGTATGTGGCCATGCAATAAATTATCAAGCCCAGCACAGAAGTAGAGAGTGCTGTTGGAGGGCTGGCTGGTGTCAGAATTGGTGAAAAGTTTGGAGGGCAGAGATATATTTGACCTCCACCCCATAGGAATCAGCCTTAGGCTGATGTTTCACTTGATTCTCCTCTCCCTTCAAGTTAAGAGGACCTCTTACACCACTGTTTTTCATAGGGGTAGAAGCATTAGACTTTCTGGCCTGGCGACATAAACTGACGAATTATATAACAAACTCCCTTTGTTCTGCTTCTGTTCAGCAAGCAGTTTTATTATCAGCTGACCCCCTAGTAGATTTGTCTTCCCTGATAGAACCAGCTGGCCATACCAATTCAAGTACATTTATCCTTGTATCAGTAATATAAGGCCAAGTGCCATGCCCTGTCCCTGCCTAATTAACTCACCAATGTCATGCCATCCAGTGAGGCAGTTGGTTCCTGGGGTCCCCTAACAATACTTGTCTGTTTTGTTGCAGGATTCTGCAAAATTACATATCCATTATGTTATCATGCATAAGTCTTTTTTCAGATGGACAAAAAAAAATGCTAATTTAAAAATTATACATTTCTACCTCTCAGAAATATTCACATACAGAGTATGTAAGATCTTATTTATTTTCTTGACTTCATTTCAGGGTCTTAATCCATCCATATATTTAGATATATTGATATACTCCACCATTTATTCCAAATTTCTTAATATCCAATATCTCTTACATTTCCAGATTTTTTTTTTTAAAAAGGACTCATAAATCCAAATATTGTCCTAAATATCTGATGGACACTCCCCTATAATTCAGTCATAAGGATTACTGGTAAACTATACAACTAATTCTAACAGCATTTTCTGTGGTATGTAAAGTGTGTTTTAAAACCTTTGAATGATAAATCTTTTGAGCAAGGCCACCTACATTACATCTCACACAAACAGTTTGGTGTCAAACAGTCCAACTCTAACAGTCAGCTTTGGAGGCCCCTAGCTGAAGCAGTGCACACAACCGAGGGTTCTGTTGTGCGTGATAATTGCACACCTATCAGGGTGTGAAACACCAAGCCGACTTTCAACCACCTGTGAAGGGCAGAGCCATTTTACTGAGTAGTCATTCAAACAGCTTAAAAGCCTTTAGCAAGAGAGAAAGGGAGGAGGGAGGTAAGTGAGAGGAGGAGGAGGAGGTGGTGAGGGAGAGAGAAAAGTGAAAGGAGGGTTAAAGGGAGGGAAATAAAAAAAGACCTCTTAGAAGAGTTATTTCTACATTGCCTGGTGAGGATTAGAATGGTTATCAGTGCCATACTCAATCCCAAATGAAATGAATACAATAGAAACACACCAAAATATCACAAAAGTAATGCTTTTAATTGTTTAGCTTCTCACAGTAGTCACACAACAGAAACTGACAAATCCATGATGTTCCATAAAAATAAACATAAAAATTAAGATCCTGGAAGACGGTTACTCTTTTTTCTTTCTTTAATGGTTTTTATTTTGATTGTTGAGTCCCTGGGTAGTATAAATGGGTAACACACTCAAGTTCTAACCAAAAGGTTGGAAGTTCAAGTATATCCAGAGGCATCCCAGAAGAAAGGTCTGGTGATCTACTTCTGACAAACCAGCTACTGAAAATACTATGGAGCACAGTTCTCACACAGGGGGTAGCCATGATACAACCGGCTGGTGGGTTGGTTATTGTGATTGTTACATCTGGCCTGCTCCCGCCCATGAAGTACTTCCTTCTGCGGCCTCTTCACCTTGCCACAGGTGAGGCCCTGGGGCTCTCTTGGCTGGGACGTCCCCTAGAAACTCCAGCAGACTGTTCTCATATTATTCACACACACATTTTGTACTAGACAAACTGTCTCTTCGGAGGTGCACATGGTGAGCATAAGCATTGATACTTTTGGTACATTTATATTATCAATAAATAAAATTATAAAAAATAGAAATCAGATTTATAACAAAATGTTCAAGTTTTACTTTTGTTTCCACAGATAAAAGTCATCATTATCATCATAAAAATAAATCTGAATGGAAAGTACTTTAATATTTTAATCAAAGTCTATATAAAGGCACAGATCGAATAGTGTTCATTTTACTAGAGGAAAAAAGAAAAAAAAAATGCTAAGCTCCTAATATTAAAAAGTTCCTGGCAAAAACACTCATAAAACACTGACATTCTGCTTCAAAGAAATATTATAAGAAAATCAATCTTATGAAAGTTCCAAACGTTGATAGTTACGTTCTAAATCAATATTTTAGAAAAGCCCTGCTAAATCTGGCTCAGGAAAGCAACATTGCCTCAATTCTTGTTACCTCATTCCCCCTTTTCCCTTTTTCTAGTAAAAGAGACTCTTCAGGAATGACTCTCTTCTTTTTGATCCCATCAGGTCAAAAACACCCTGAGTTTGACACAGAGGGAATCGATACAGCAACATTATTACTCTTTTTGTCACATTCTCTTTTCTCAGACCTATGTTTTGGTCTCCTTTCCTCATGGTCAAAACAGTTTGCCCTTCATTTCATTCTGGAGCTTACCATCGTAAGTCAAGAAAAGATTTGTTCTCTATAAGAAAGACCTATTCTGTAGGAAACTGTTACAAACACAAATAGTGAAACAATTTTAAAAAATGGACCAGTTCATTCAAAATACCACACAGGCTCAATGCCTTCAATTTCATCATATATATATAAACAACCACAGAATATAATTCTTAATCTTTATATGTTTCTATAAAAGTCTTATTAAAGCTTTAATAAATGATTTTTAAGAAATGTTTCTCTTGATCACAACTATTAAATAGCTTTTTGCCCATTTAAAAAAAAAAAAAAAGGCACCACTATGTGAGACTCAAAGTTGTGGTACAGAGACAGCACCTTGATTTGCCTAAAACATCTCTTCTATGAGTCGTGGGACACACGCAGGGCTGACTTTGAGTCAGTTGTTGTTGTTGTTATGTGCCGTCGAGTCAAACCCGACTCATAGCGACCCCTCCTTGGGTTTCCGAGGCAGTATCACTACAGAAGTAGGATTGCCCAACCTTCCTTCCAAGGAGTGGCTGGTGGGTTTGAACCACCAGCCATCTGATTAGCAGGCAAGTGTCTTAGCCACTATGCTACCAGAGACGGCATTTATTTACACACACACACACATACACACAAAACCAGTGCTGCCTCTAAAACTTTATGGTCTTAGTCAAATTATGTAATCTCCCCAAACCTCAGTTCCTCCCCAGGAAAATGAAGGAGTGGAAACAGATGAGCATTTTCCAAACATGTGTTCCAAGGAATATTTTTTATCTCATGAAAAAGAGTTCTGTGGTCCAATTAAACTCCAAACTGCTGTACACAGTATCTCCCCTCTGGCAGATTCACAATGATCGTTAGCACTGTTACAGCTTCCAAAGAGTCCTGTGGTACATTTGTTTAACTCTGTTGAAAATGTAGTGAGGAACTGCCATCCATCAGCATGTTGTGGACCACAGGAGACCCTGGTCCACTGCCGCTCAAGTCCCTCCCAGCATAGACATGGATGAAATGTAGGAAGAGCAAGCAGGCTCCTTCCCCAGGTTCTGGAGGTTGAGAGAGGATCTAAAGCCCTGATGTTGACAAACCACCTGTTCACTAACTGGCCCCTTGAAGAACATTAGGCCCCTTGTTCCTAATGAAAGCCTTCATTCAAAGAAAGTGGAAATGACTGTCACAGAATCTTGGTGGCCATCTACAGTACAGTAAGTAGCAGAACTTGCCAATAATGATAAGCTATATTCAATAGTCTAGTTTTCCTTTCCAGTGTGACTTGAATTTTCTCCATGGCAAATGCTTTTGCCACTGTTCTCTAGAACACTTCTGCCCAACTTTAATAGGATCCCTGAACTTTACCCACTTCCTTGTCCGGAATGAATTTAACTAGCCGGTGGCACTGTCAGGTTAAAGAGCTGCTCTTCCAAGAAGACACCGCCAAGGCCATATTGTTCTTCATGCAGATGAATTTCTTCGGGCGACAAGTGGCTTGCTCCAAGAACAAAGTCTGCAAATCTAATAAGGTTTTTTTTAAAAAATCTAATATTATCACAGACAAGTTACCTAGATGACAACATGTTCCCTTGATACTTATCTCCTTTAATTAAATTTGACTGGGTCAATAGAGGATGGCATTTACACACATACAAATCAAACCCACTGCCATCAAGTCGACTCATACTGATCCTGGAGGACAGTGCAGAACTGCCTCATAGACTTTCCAAGTCTGCAAATCTTTACTGCTATAAATCTATGCTTTATCTTTCCACTGCAGAGCAGCTAGTGGGTTTGAACTGCCGGCCTTTTGATTAGCAGCTGAACACTTTAACCACTGCACCACCAGAGATGGGCCTGGGAGAGGCTGGAGAAGTAAGCAGACTTATACACAGTTGGCATAGCCAAATGGACTCAACCCTGTTTCTACTTCATCTCTTCTCTATTTTTCATTAGATATGTCATCATCATTATTATTATTACTGCCAATACTTTCCCCCTTCATTCTTTAATTTGAGGGCTCTGTTATTTGGATTAAGTTATGAAGAATGGAAAGTAATAAGGGAATAGCTTTTTTGGTAAATTTTGAAAATCAGTTTCCACACCAGTAGATTATATATCCCATGGCACCATTCTCTTTCCCCTAATGGAAGTTACCTTGTTGGTCTTCCCTATGAATAAACAGAAATCAATATTTAAGCAGACATCAGCAGTTACACTGCAAATCAGAATACTGAAGAAAAAGAGGATTACTGACAAACTTCTACATCATCTGTTGTCCAGGGAAGTCAACTGTTTCTAATCTGAAATATCTCTACCAAGCCACTATCTTATTTTCAAAATAATACTTACCCAAGCTATGGTTCAAGCAACTGAACAAGGCTTATTATGAACAATTAAATGCTCGCTTACTTTTTAGGAGCCTGGAGTTTGGAGACAGCCAGCCAGGATGGGAAGTCGGGTCTGTTGCAGGTTTGGCGCAGTTCCTCCAAAGCCTTGGCCGTTTCTTCATCAGCTTGTTCCCTGTATTCTTCGTCAGTAAGATATTTAACCACTAGTTTTTCTGATGTAAACCATCTCTTCATTTTCCTAAAACATGCAGCATTTTGTTGCTAGATTCCTGGTCATATTTGATTGCTCAATTCAATCCTTAAGATTTATAGAAATTTATTTCTTAGGTAGTGATAGTATTACTTTTAAACTTTTCCAATACCTACACTTCTTTATTGTTGTCATCATGACTGAGGTATACAGAAACCATATAACTCACTGCCATCGAGCCAGCCTGAGTCATGGTGAGCCCATGTGTGTCAAAGCAGAACTGCACTGCATAGGAGTTTCATGGCTGTGGCTTTTGAAGTTGACCACCAAGCCCTTCTTCTGAGGCACCTTTGGGTGGACTCGAAGTGCCAACCTTTTGGTTAACAGCCCAGTGCTTAACTGGTTGAGCCATACAGGGACTCCATAGAGAACCTGTACATTTTCCCTTTTCCTAGATTATCCTAATTGACCTCCTAAAGCATTTGAGAATCGACTTTTGGTAAAGATGTTAAGTGTATTTTTCTTCTTTGGTGATTTCTAATCACACAATTAAAAGCCTGTTTTTGTACTTGGCCTGCTGATTTTCTTAGCACTAACAGAAGCCAGGCTTTGGAGATTCCCTTTTATGGAGACACAGCCAATCACTTACCACCGACTCCCCAGAGACAGAAAAGCCGGAGGATTTGTGGGATGTGGCCTCCACCTAGTGGTGATGCTGCTGACTGATCCCACAGACAGGGAGCAAACACTGTTATACACACAATGATTGTAATTATACTCCCTTCCCCACATGCCAAGGGGCTTATGATTGGAGTATTTTTCTTTTTAATCAGGAAAGTCTGAAAGAGAGTAATTCCTTGAAAAATGAAAAAAAAAAGTGATGATGATATTTTTTAAAAATACTAAGTTACATTTATCAATGAGTTTTTAAACAGGGTTTTAGATGATTTTATATTTAAGCAGAGAGTCCCAAATCTGAAGGAGCACCAGAATTAGTAGGAGTTTTCTATTTTAAATACATTTTCTTGAGGGTTGGGACCTCAGAAATCTGTATTTTATCTTTTAAAGCTCATCTGGTGGATGGTAAATTGGATTGAGGAAATGCTAACACTATTTCTGTTTCCCTTTTTGAATGACTAGATATGGGTTGGGAGCTCTGATAG